TGCAGGGTCTGCTGGCTGGGTGCTGGCAGGCTTGCACCTGGCACGGGCACCGTAGCCAGCCCGTGCCCCTTTAAGGGGTCCGGGGCCGGGAGGGGGCAGACGAGTTTCCCTGGTGTTGGCCAGAGTGGCCACCAGGGAAAGCTGGGGAGGGCTAGCCTCCCACTAGTTCGAATTAAGGGGCTACACAGCCCTTAAGTCGAACTAATATGTTCGAACTAGGCTTAGTCCTCGTACAATGAGGTTTACCTAGTTCGAACTAAGCGCTCCGCTAGTTCGAATTAAGTTCGAACTAGCGGAGCGCTAGTGTAGCACCTATCAAAGTTAATTCAAACTAAGGGACGTTAGTTCGAATTAACTTTGTAGTGTTGACATACGCTGAGATAGTGGCACCACTCTAGGGGGCTCCACAGCCAACCCTACAGGAGCTGCTAAGGGGAAAAGTTTCTGACACTCTTGCACACAGCGCATGTACAACTGATTGGAATTGACATGAACAAGCACTCGAAGAAGAGCCTCAACCTACCCATCCTAGCCTTCTTTGTTTTAAGCTTGAATTTTCAACAAATCTGGAACTGCTCTTTTACATGTCCTTTGTCCATACTCTTTACTGTGCATGTCACTCACTAGCATAGATTTTGTAGACGCACAGGGCTTGAAGCCCAGCAACCAGAGCATTTCTCGTTGCTGGTGGTAGAACCCCCAAACGTGGAAAACAATCAAATTTTAAATTTAATGTATTATTTACTACTATTATACTTGACACCCAGGAGAGAGAGAAAACTTCTGGTAATTAACAGGGGTTCCAACAACTGCCACATGAGACATGAAGGAACTGAGGGGCATGGGAGCAGCTCTGCCCTTTATATCTGCATGCAGCAGCACACAGAGCAGAAGCTGCTCGAGCAACCGAATGGGTTGTGTTAAGAGGAATAGTTTCTGATGGCCCTATTTTATAAAGTGTTCATTTTGTGATTAAAACTGATATTTTAAATTAGGGGGTAGAATAAGGACTTGAACCAGAGATCTCCTATATCCCCAGCTAATGCTCCAAACACCTCGGCTGTGTCTACACTGGGCCACTTATTCCGGAAAATCAGCCGCTTTTCCGGAATAAGCTGCGAGCTGTCTACACTGGCCCTTGAATTTCCAGAAAACCAACGATGCTCTACTGTACAAAATCAGCCACTATTCCGGAAAAACTATTCTGCTCCCGCTCGGGCATAAGTCCTTATTCTGGAACACTGTTCCGGAAAAGGGCCAGTGTAGACAGCCCAGTAGTCTTTTCCGGAAAAAAGCCCCGATCGCGAAAATGGCGATCGAGGCGCTTTTCTGGAAAAGCGCGTCTACATTGGCCACAGACGTTTTTCCGGAAAAAGGGCTTTTCCAGAAAAGCAGCCTGCCAATGTAGATGCTCTTTTTCCGGAAATACTTATAACGAAAACTATTCTGTTTTAAGCAGTTCCGGAAATTCATGCCAGTGTAGACACAGCCAGTATGTATGGTCTTAGTTATGCTCTTGTTCTCCTTCTCCTGCTCTCTAGATTTCCCAACAAAACCTAACTGAAATTAGTTGCTTTTGAGCCTATTGCAAGTAGATGTCATTTAGCCAAAAAGGTTCCAATGTTAAACTTTCAATATGTTCTTCACCAGCCTTTTAAAGGATGCACTCCTCTCCTAGATTTTACTGAAACAGCAGTAGATTGATGCATTGTCATAGGGACATGTATTTGCTGAAAGTAAGACTAGATAATAAGTCACCAAAGGGTACCTGACTAACCAAAAGTAACCCCAACATTCACCTGTAAATCAACCAAGAAATGCAACTGGCATATGCCATGGGAGCAGACACAATGGAAACTGAAGACGAGGAGAAAGCAGAAAAGGAGATAAGAAAAGCAGTCAGTACTTAGAGTGGCTTTCAGATGAGGCCCCTGTATCTAAAATCTCCTTTGAGGAGTGATTTGGGAAAGTATAAAAAAGGGAGTGCATTTTAAAGTGACTTTTACTGTTGACAAAACACACCAGATTGGAGAGAAAAGAGTGTGCTGTCAAGTATTATCAAACAGAAGGTATAGCATAACAATTAATCTTTTTCCTATGGAGTCTTTCAATGCATGTCCCCCATCTGAGCCATGGTTATTCTGGGGAAGGGTCCTAGTCATCCTTTCCATACAAACCATATTTGCAGACACTAGAAGGGCTCTTGCTTTATTAGGATTAGCAAACAAGCATTTTACACTGAAGAATTTGCAAATGCTGCATTAGATTTAGCCAGTTAGGGACAATGAAACATCAAGCAAGCATTGATTCATTCTCCTATAAATTAAGCATACAATTTTATGACACTGAAGAGCTCCACTGAATCAGGAGGAAGTCAGAGATGTGGCAGTGTAAACAATGGAAGTAGTTCCCAGAATTCTGTTCTCTAGAATCACAGTAATTAGGCTTGTTCTTATGCTGGCAAATAAGAAACATAGCGAAGAAGTCTGTGATAAAGGGGGAAGGGGGAAAGCAGTTAAACGCACCAAGTTATCAGAATGAGTTTGTTTTAACCCTTTTGTACTAGGTGAGTTGAGTGCTCCCATATTAGTGTTGCAGGATTAAGTGAGGTCTTTCTAAAAATCAACACCACATACAGCCAGGCTCTTCTACTCTCATCCTTATTTGCCACTGCTATTTACGTCTTTGCCAAAAATTAATAATGTGCTCTCCTCAACCATTTTCATATAAGTCAGCTCCTCTTAATTATAAGACACCTTGGAAGTTTTGACTTGCTTACTTTACCACAATATTTCCTAAAGTCTTGGCCTTCACTGGTTGCTTGTTGTCATCCAGAACCATCACTGCAAAGTAACAAAGGAAGAGATCATTTTTCTCACCTGTAACTGGTACTTTTCAGATGGACAAGGACAATCTCTAACAGCTGGTCTACCTGGAGAGTTAGTGCAAAGCAAGACAGGTTGAGAAGCTACAATGCACTAACTGGTTAGGTAGATCCCTACTACACAGCACTATGGAACATCTATTGTACAGTAGCAGGTCCACACAGCAAGCTAGTGTAGATTCAAACCCGGACTTGCTGAATACTAACTCATCATGTCTACAAACCTTAATTTGATGAATGCCCACTGATGTCACACTTAGTGTGGAGAAGGCACTGGCAACAGAAGGAATTATAGATTTTTCTGAGTACCAAAATAGATGAGCTAAAGATTCCTGTTTGCATCCCAGCCACAAGTACCATAGGCCTTAAACTAAAGAAGCACCTGGTAGGGGTAGAGGCCCTAAAATTTAAAAGGAAAAAAAAAACTCCAGTGAAATCTGAATCTCCAATTAAAAAAAACATTTTCAGAAGTATGGCAGTGAGGTCATAATCAATATTAGTAAGGCTACGTCTACAGTGCACAGTTATTTCGGAATAAGCTATTCTGGAATAGCTATTCCAGAATAGCTTATTCCGAAATAACTATACGACCATCTACACAGCAATTCTGTTATTTCAAAATAACGGGCAGCTTATTCTGACTTCTGTAAACCTCGTACTAGGAAGAATAATGCCTATTTTGAAATAGCTATTTCGAAATAAGGTGTGTTTAGATGCTCCACTTCCGCTATTTCGAAATAGCGGAAGTGGAGCATCTAAACACACCTTATTTCGAAATAGCTATTTCAAAATAGGCATTATTCTTCCTAGTACGAGGTTTACAGAAGTCAGAATAAGCTGCCCGTTATTTTGAAATAACAGAATTGCTGTGTAGATGGTCGTATAGTTATTTCGGAATAACAGCCACTATTCCAAAATAACTTTGCTGTGTAGACACACCCAAAGTGATAGCAACTAATGTTATTAGAGATTGAAGGAGTCCACTAGATATGGGATTAATGAAACTGTCTGTTTCCAAATGCACAAGATGTGTCTCTGATTTGACAAACTCTACACAGTGAAACCACTATCCTGACAGGGAAGGACTGTGTTTTTTCATACTACAGAAAGATGAGGTAAAGTGATATGTGATTTGACCAAGCTCACACAGCAGGTCAGTGTCATAGCTGGGACAAGATCCAGAGACCAACTCCAATGCCCGTTCCATTGATTCACAATGCCTTTGTTACAATCTTTAGTAATGTGATTATATTTCAATAGGGAAAATTTAGGTTCCCAAGGACAGAGCCTAGAACCTCCTATTGGTTACAGTGTTCATCTAGGAAATCTATTAGAATCACTTCCCTACTGCCTGAGAACAAGGGAACGATGACAAACAACATTTTGCCCATGGCTGTGGTACCCTTATCTGTATTAACTGCTCAGAGGCCTAGCTTATAATATTTAATGAATAGGGATGTGAATGGTTAAAAAGTTAACCAGTAAGCATCACCTTTAACTGAGTGTTGCTTACCAGTTATGGTTAACCAACCATTCATGGCAAGCCCAGCCCAGCTGGAGAAGCACACTTTAGCCCAGCCCCAGCAGCCCCGGCCCATGGTGGGGTGGAGCACTCCAGCCTGTCCATGGTCACCTCCCCTCCCCTATTTAAGATGTTAATCGGTTAACTGATTAAATAGGATATACAATTAAGAATGGCTATTAGAGATACACCATTAAGAATGGCTAATGCTTGTAAACAGCAAGTAGGGGTGGTGGTGAAGAGAGGCATATTAAGACTTCACAGACAGGACAGATGTGGGTTTAAATCAGGTTTGGGCAAGATGTGGCCCGGGGTTGGACCTGGCTTGCCTAACACTTTGATCTGGGCTGAAGACTGTATCTGGATGCTTTCTATTTATATCCTGCTGCCTGGGCCACAGACTTTCCAGGAGGTGTCTCAGACAGAAGGATCCTATTTAAAGGGCCATTTTAATCACAGAAAAATCCCATGGTGGGGTTTGAAGGATTAACTCCTTTTAGAATCTTTGCTCAAGTTGGGGTGATCGCTGTTAAGAGTATTAGCATGTATGTAGGGTCTTCTCTATTGTTTTCTCTGTAATGCTTTTCACTTTATTTGGGCTCGCTTAGGAAGAGTGGTGTAGTAATATGTAAGTACAAGCAATTATGCCGTTTACAACATCTGAAAAGAAAGCAGAGAGTAGGATGTTGGCCTCTTCAGCTTCCCAGGCATAACACAGTGTACTCAGGGAACTATGCAGCCAGGGAAAACCTGTCCAGGACTGGAGGGGGAAAGATGTGGGTCTCTGCCCAGGAGAGGTGACAGTGGAGAGACAGGAAGCCTTAAAGGGATCCTAGAAGGGAACATAGGTGCAGTTGACCTGATCTGAAATAGTAACATCCAGCCAAGGCCATCCTGCTACAACAACCCTGAACAATTATGAAGAGAATTGAGGAGAGAGCAGAAATACCCATGTCTGCCAACAGACATTTCAAGTACCATTGTGTCTATCCAATGCACAGACTCCATAACTGCTGAAATTAGATCTTTACTGTCTGAAACCACTCCTTCAGAAAGGACAGTGATTTTAACACCAGCATAGCCAGTCACAGACAATGGATCAGAGGCTTGGCATAAGGACAAAAACAGCCAGGCCCCAAAATTGGAAGGGTTAATTAGACAAAGAGAAGCTATCCTAAGAAAGGTTCTGAGAAGGATGAATAGGAACTCCAAAGTCATCCTGTCTCCTCTATTCGAGGGATGTTAACAAGAAGCTTTCATTCTCTTGGGCGACTACAAATTCTGTAAAACACTAATTGTTGCTTGCACCTGTTCAAGTAACATAAGAAAAATCCATCAAGTTAGACTTGAAAAACTCAGATTCATGTAGCAGGATTCATGTAACAGTCTTGCCCATACCACAGTTTCAACAACTTATTTTTTTTAATGTTCATGTTTGCTTCTATTTGGTAGACAAAAATCAGCCAAACTCTCCTCAAAAATGTGAACACTTCTGTAGATAGCTTGACCTCAAAGAAATCTAATTATGTTCCCTTCTTAGAGTAATTCCTGTACACTCTGGGTCAAAATCAGTTCCTAGGTATAAAAATATTTTAGAATTCTTAATCTCATAGCTGTGCACTCAGCATGCAAATACCTTCCAAACAATGAAAGCTCTCTTTTTTATGACCTATGCTGGTTCACAGCCTACAATTCCTTACAGCTAGAAATAAAAATGCTGCACAGATACTGAAACATAGTGTTCTTAACATCTCTCTCAAATATGAGCCCCTTTACAAGTCTGAACACAAACACTGTCTTGTTTGATAAAATGAATGGGGATGTGAGGTGACTACAAATAAGCTATGTTGCTTTTTAGTTCATTTAATATTTGTAGAGGTCACAGATTTCACATGAAGAATCATCTTTATATACTTAAAATCAGGTGAGGTTTTATATTTAATTGTTGTGCAGAAATAAGATCAGATCAGTTTGTTTCTTAAACATATATATACACAATTAAGCCTCTAAGAAAAACCAGTAAGCCTATAAATAACACATGTAGTCCTAGATGTAAACTACAGGTGTGGCAGCATGTTCTCAAAGCACTACTGAGCTACACAGTCTAGCTACTAGTTCCTTTCCACTGGTCATAACGATGAGCACTATTAACACTATTTTTCCTAAACACTAAAAACCTGCTGACTATAATTTAACAGTAGATTATGGCAGATTTCCGTTTCAAACACTCAGTGTTTGGTAATATCCATTGCCCAATTGTATGTAGGCACTGCAAACCTTCAGACTCAACAGTATAGTGACAACTGCCACAACCAGTTCTTCATGCACTTTCAAATTTCTGTGTAGCAGAGAAATGTTTGGTGCACAAGGAATGCCTACTCAGACTGACAGTTGAAAGGTGGGAAGGAATGTTTGCTAATAAGACAGATTGCTAAGTGGCTGACCTTATGAGTTTTGGAGCACTTCCTGAAAGATGCAAGCATTTTCTAGGAATACAGGATAAATTAAAACCCATATGATCGCTGTAATTTTAATTGTACTTGTAATTGGAGCCAGAATTAAGAACTAATGCTTCTGCTCCTGACATAGGTCAAAAAGTTGCATGCGTGCATGTGAGAGAGACAAAAATGGCTTTACATCAATCCAGAGGCCACTAGGCTGGTTCCAAGGAGCAACATGGAGCAGCATCATGGATGCTCTAAATTGTGCCAATTTGTAATATATATACTTTGAGCTCCAGGATGTGCCACCTCCCAAATCATGTTTCTTTTTCCCACCCAAGATGAGGAGGAAGGAAAAATAAAAAGATGGTGAGGAATTGCAATGTTGACTCTATGTCACATGGACATTCACCCAGTTAAATAGCCACTTAAGCCAGAGAGATGAGAAACTGATGGAACAGAGACCAATATTGGCCCTAGATTGTTAAAGAATAACTATAATCTTAAGGCCTGACCTTTTTAGGCACCGAGCTCGCTCTCAGTAGTGTGAGCAACTTCCTCTCCTATTGATATACACTGCACACTCTTACCATTGTATCCTGGCACTGATTTTCCTGCCTGTCCTGGTGGAGGTGTTGTAGAGTTTCCCAAACCAACACAGGAAGCAGTAATTGCAGATCCAGTTTCTGTTATGTAATGGAAGGAAACTATGTTAGTTGCAGCTTGTACATAGCGGCATTAAGTACTTATTGATGACAGCTTGATTTCTAGTTTGAAACATAGAGAATACATTCCCAGATGAGCAATGAAAGATTTAGAATTCACTGGACTCTTATAATATGCAGTGAATGCAAATGCACCACAGATGTCAGCGTGCATCAAAAGGCCACTTTTCCATTCATCAACAGTTTTAAAAAAAAATCTGTATTGTACTAAGTAAAAAGGAACCTATAGCTTATTCTGCTGTGGAACAATAAATTACATGTTTTCAAGTAATCTATAGATGAGAGGACTGCTACATAAGATTATTTTATCATATATATTTTAAAAATTGATGCATCAATCAAAATCATCAAGAGGAACATTCGCTAGAAAACATACTAAACCAGCCTTGTCTTATTATTCTACATCTCTGTTTAGATTATGCTAGGGCTTTCTGTGCAGGGTGTATATCACTAGACAACTGCACATTTCATAGCTTCTGTAGGCTGAGCTGACTGCACACACGAGCATTCCTCCATTCTACTCAACAAGTTACTAGTATGCCATCCTCACATTCCCCTTCATTTCAGGGATGCCTTCTAACTCCCCCAACATTCTCCATAATGCCTGGGGTTCTATGTGTCTCCCTGGCTCCCTCACTTCCATTCAATGGCTCTGTGTGTCCTCATTTCTACTTCCCCCATCCATGCCAGAAACTCTGTGACCTCCCCAATTCTTGCCTCATGGCATAGACTCTGTGTGAACCTTAATTTCCCCTATACTAGATCCCATAAATTCCCTCTCATCATGGATTGTACGTCTCATTCCATCCCGTATACCAAAGATCCCTCTATTCCAGAGGCTCTCTGTAGGCTTCCAACACCCATTTCTTCTTCCTCATTTTTCTGTCCATCTGTGACATAAGTCATTCAGGGTGTCAACGTGTTAAAATATTAGCAGGATGAGCAGAGATGAAATGGGAAACCATCATTCTGGACGATACTAATGGGTGCTTTTATTCCATTTGATTTATAGACAATTGGAGAGAAAGTTGAAATGGTTGTTGTGCTAAGCAAATAGCAGGGGTTAAATGTCTCTCATTTTCTTCCTTTCAGTTTTTCAATTTTCCTTGTAAATCAGCACACTGGGGCCTAAAATATTTACTGCATAGCTTGGAATCAGTCAGATGAAACATTTAAAATTCATGGTGTTACATACAGAGGAATGCAGTTGTGCAAAGCCTTCACAAAGTTGTCCACCTGTATGCAAAATTCAATATGGGACTGAGAAAAGATATCCCTTGAGAGGCTCAAAAAGCAGACAACTGCAATATTTCTCAATGTCATGCTACTCTGCAGGAAGATCAGCAAGCAGCCCATGTTATGGAACAATGGATCACTACTTTACAGGCAGTCCCCGGGTTACGTACAAGATAGGAGTTATGGAACAATGGATCACTACTTTATTTGGAAATGCACCAGATAGTACAGGGGTATTTGCTGAGGGTTCTCATTGAGAAACCTCTTTGGGAATCTACATGCTGCAGCTACTTGGTGAAGAAAGGAAAAATAAAGTATGTAGTAGTAACAGTATACAATAAGTGTGGCCGTGCTGCAGTCATGGAGTGCTAGATTAAAGCTAGCTCAGATGCATGCACATGAGCTGCAATCAAATCCCATGACAGCAATGTAGCCATAACTTAAATGTCTAAAGCCACCAAAAATAAACTTGAAGGGAGTGCTGGGGGCAGGAAGCCATTATTTCAATATTACTGTCCCAAAGTATTCAACAAATCATGAGTAAGGCCCCAAAAAGCATGATATTTGATATGAATCTTTAGTGCTCAGATTTTCAAGATCCATCTCCCCACCCAGCCTGGGTAGGAATTTATTTGTATTAAAATGAAAGCTGTAGTTCTGATGTCATCTTATAACTCCAGGAGCTTGGTAGGAGGAGAGGAGGTTAATTAAAACAATTACAATATTCACAATAAAACTACTACAAGGGTTGTCTGTGTTTACAGGAGTATTGCTCTTCAGCAGCCATTCTGGAAGGAACCTAAGTCTGTATTCTTGCTACAGAGGCTTTCCAGGTTGCCAGATTCTTACAAGAGTTAACAGCTCTGGTGGAGATTAATACAGAAAATTTAAAAAGATCCTTGTTCAAGTCTACTGGCTTTACCACATATGCAGGGCCCAAAATGAGCTGATGTCGAATAGTTTTGGTCATTGATGCTGATGGCAATCACTGGAATTTCAACTCATCCAATTTTTCAAACTAAGCAAACCAGTCCAATTTGCACCAAGGTCAAGCTATGGCCAGCAAGAAAAGCATGCCAAGTTTTGGAAATAAATCCCACCTTAAGGTAGCCTGACTCAGATGCTGGCTATAGGAGGCAAACAGAAAAGCCACAGAGGTTATTTGGAAGAGCAGTGGGAGAACAGGTCAGAAAAGTTTGGGAGAATGTAAAACTGAACATTTCACGTGGGCTGAAAGAAAGACTGGAAGGGAAGGGAACAGGCACAGACTAAAAGGAGAAGAAAAAAAAAATGTTCAGGGCTGTACAGCCGGTCCCCGAGTTGCAAACGGTCTACTTACGACCGTTCGCAATTACGACCAAAAATGTTGTAAATGGTGGACCCCGAGTTATGAACGTGATCCACGCTTATGAACAGCGCGGTCGCATGTAACTCAATGGGGTCCGACTTACGAACAAACTGTGTTACGAGCAACTGCTTGGTCTGTAACCGGTTCGTAAGTCGGAGACAGGCTGTAATGACAAAAGGAACAAAAAGTGGAAGTAATAATGGGTGAAACCCTTAACTAGTGGGTGAGGGACCATATGAATTCTTTGCCCCCACCCCCTCCTAGAGAGAACCACCAGCTGTTCTGAACAGTTGGCAGTTCCCTCTAGGTGCCTGTGCCGCTTGCAGGGTGGGAGGAGACTTTACACACCTCCCCCATCTGCAGTCAATCAAGGCCTGGGGCAGAGGAACGCATGAAGTCGCTGCTTCCTGCCCCCGCCCTGCAAGGGGCATGCAGCACTTAGAGTGAATCACTAGCTGAACAGCTGGCAGTTCACTCTAAACACTGCGTGCTCCTGGCAGGGGAGGAGACTTCACATGCTCCCCCTTTCCTGGCGGGGGAGGAGACTTCACATGCTCCCCCTTCCTAGGCCCTGATTGGCATGGGGACGGGGGAGCAGCAGGGCATCCATGGGCTGGATCAACTCACTTGGCAGGCCAAATCCGACCCACAGAAGCGCTCTTGCTCACCCCTGACAGACCAACAACAGATATGGGCTTAGGCAAGAAAGGAACATAGTGAGCAGCAAACATGCAGGGAAGCAAAATACAGGCTTGAAAGCCTTGCTGTACAATCCTGTCAGGATGAAAAATGTGGGATTGGAGGAGGATAGCCATAGGGAACTAGGAACTCAGGGCTGGATATCCTGGGCCACAGACAGTATACCACTCCTATAACATAATAACCATCACAAAACTCCTATTAGAGCAACCAAGGCCTCCTCCATTCCCATCTTCAGGAAACCTCGGGCCCGTCCCAGAAGAGGTAGGATTCAGCATCTACAAACCTAAACAAACGATTTTGTGGGAGTTAAAGTAGCTCTGCTGACATCACCCCAGTGGAATTACTGTAGCCAAGAGAGCCACAAATATAGTGTCGCCCTGCTATGAGAATGGTGGAAGACCTCCCACACACCCATGTTGAATTCCTGGGAAACAATGTAAGACTGGTCTAGGTTGCAAGGTGAATATATTCAGTGTTAGGTCTAGGACTGGGAAACATGGAAGACTCTGGTCATGATGGTCCTGGAAAATTACTGATTTTAGGACTCGTTTTGTCTTATTTCACTTCTAGGAGGTGGCCTGAGACTGCTAAAATCATTTCACATGTTCTGTATAGCAGTTCTGTCACTAAAAACTGTTACAGTACCTATCAACCTAAGCCGCATTTGAACTTGTAACAGACAGTTGTCAGCAAAAGGCTGAATGTTCCATTATGAGTTTCAAGAAACCATCCAATACTCCATTTTATCATTGTTTCAATGCAATTTTATGGATGTGACTGTCTGTAACGCAGTGAACCAATTTATATTTCCTACTCACAACATTGCCAAGTACAGAAATATTCATAAATTCTACCATTAGTATCATTGTTGACAGCAGTTAGTGAACTCCAGCCAATTTCTCTTCATACACAAGTTGACAGAAATAGGGAATGCCTTTGACAAGAAAAATTACTACAGCTGTGAAGCAATGATTCTGTCAGAAAAATGGAATCAGCATAGAACATTACAGTAACCTAATCCACAGATATGATTAGTGTGCACTAGGAACTGACATAAATTTGTCACTGCAGAGGCCTCCTGTTCAAAGGTCTTAGAGAGGGGGAAATTTATGATGTCTTCAAGGATAAGTTAGAATCCACTTGGTGCTTTTTATGCACAATATACAAAACTAACAACATGAACTAAAAGTGAACCGTGCTATTACACTGATTTATATTTCTGTACTTACTCACTACAAAATAAAAAAAAATAACAAGACTGAACCGTGTTCTGTCTATTCTAAATAAGGAATGTGTATTTTCAGTACAGTGGGTAATGCAATTTCAGTAGCAGCTACTGTGCACTATTGTCTTACTAGTTCTCTCCGTGAATGTAAATTTTTTAGAATGTACTCTACATTGGGTCAAATGCTGGTCTCTGACGTGCACATGTGGTTTGTATGAGAGAGCAGGAGCCTAACAAATAGGGGTAGAAATTCTTAAGAACATAAGAATGACCACATTGAGTCAGACCAATGGCCCAACTAGCCCTATATCCTGTCTTTCAACAGTGGCTAGTGTCAGATGCTTCAGACAGAATGAAGACAACTGGGCAATTATCGTCCAGTACCAGCTTCTAGAAGTCAGCGATTTAAGAACACTCAGAACACATGGTTGTTTCCCTGACTTTCTTGGC